TCATTTGGGGAAAAAATCCAATATCAAGCCCTAAATGGCCTTAAGGGCCCAAGTGCGAGTAAGTTATATAAGCAAGAATTATTAAAAGTTTAAAATAATACTCAGACCGCAGTGTATTTCTAGATTTATCTACTATAAATTGCTGCATTTTTCCACAATCATATGAGTAGACCCAAGGGCGCTCGTAAAAATGTGGCCTATTGGATAGCATATCCAGATTGCATGCTGCATTATCATGTTCCGAGTCCCGCCGAGGGTTCGGATAAGACCTAGACAAGGTCGAAATTGTAGTCTACTCCTTCCTGAATAAGAATAACTTATGGGAAGCAAGGTTATGTGAAATTCAAAGAAAACATCAGCTCTACTACTACTACCAGTCAATCCTCTTATCACCTCATATTTCGTATAGACTCAACAGCAGCAACTCTTAGGTATGAAGACCAGGATAGTGTGGCCTTTTGGATGATCGTTGTGTGACCTTGGTTTCACAACTTGGTCATATTAGCAGGAAGAGTAAGAGGAACGCAGCTTGTCCGGAGTCCATAGCATGTATGATCATTTCCAAAGTCGGAACGTGGACTTGGTACATTCCCATACGTTTCGCCGACATCGTAGTCGGCATCATCAATGAGTCTTGCCATTCTCAGCAATGAGCAGTGATGGCATAACCATCTCAACAGAAAGTTGACTAAGGGATTGACTTGACTTGTCTCTTTGACGAGTTGTAGCTTGGTTGATGAGAATAGCAAGACTCACTGATGACGCCGACCACGATGCCGGCGAAAACTCTGGGAATGTCCCAAGTCCACGGTCCGACTGTGGAAATTATCATGCCTACTATGGACTCTTGAAGAGTTACCTTCCTCTAAGTCTTCCTGCCAATATGAGCAGTAAATTTTATCTATCTAATATTGTAATATGAAATCGACTAATTAATATTATTTCATTCTTTTACATTTATACCACGAGAAATCAGTATTTTACTTCATTCCCATTTTTTCTTGAATTAGACGACAGAAATGTTGTAAGCGTGCTCATCGGACGCTGTCTGGTCGACATGTAATGAGGAATCCAATTTTAATACTATCCTCCCGCAAGGACTAACGCGACGTCGACTCACCTCTGCCTCTCCGGTCGCCAGGAGCTCAGTCTTCAGGCGAGCCACCTCGTCGCGCAGAGCCTGTACTTCGGTCTGGCGTCGCTTGGCCTCGTGCTCAGCGCGATCCGTCTCCGCTCTGCCCACGGCCACCTCGTCGAAGGCGTGTTCAGCCTCTCTGAGTCGAGTCTCCAAGGCGGTGGCCTTGTTGCGCCAGATCTCCAAGTGGACATCTCGCGAGGCCAGCTGATCCTGAAGCCGACGTATGCGTCTCCGGAGGCCGGCCAACTTGTCCGTCGTCTGACTGGAGTCGTAGAGGAAGGTGCCGCCTCCGGTGGCCAGTTGAGTTAGCCTGCCTGAAGAAGGCAGCACTGATGCATGTTAGATTGCGATTTTCGGTGTGCAGGCCACATGCAGCAATTAACACTCGCATCGCTAACCCATTAAGGTCAACCTTCTGCATCTCTCAGTCTCACGTTTTGGTACCCTTGTCGACGACTCGAGCATTGGGTCCTGCGTCTCGAGATACAGTATTGCAGGATAATGGGGGCAGACCTGATTTAAGCACAACATGTCCACTTGAGAAAGAGACGTTTGAAAGATTTTCACTCCTGACAGACAACTTCTGCCGACCCTAGCAAGTCACCGAAACAATGCTGCAAGTTGTGACGATGAGTAGGGCAAGAGAAATAAACACACGTTTCAAGTGAATGCCTCCAGCAGACTCGATTCGGCTTCGTCGGGAGAGACAGCAGATGCCTCGCTTCTCCAATACGAGGTATTGTATTGTGATACCCATGCTTCTGCTTGGCTTTCTAAATGTTGCAAGCAATTTTCGTGACCCTCATTTCAGCCCGTACTCCTAAAATGCCCATTTCATTACGAGTTGATCATCCAGCTTGACCTCTTCTCAGACCATATCTAAACCCCTGAAGCCAACTCGTTCTGAAGCTCGTTGGTGTGTGTGTGTGTGTGTCTGTGCATGTCTGTGTGTGTAGCATAAAAGGTTTACTCATCCCTGATTTTTATTCAGGCGTGTGATGAGACATGGCAAATGTGTGATAAAAGCTGCAGTCCAGTGTGAATACTCAAGAGAGGAAATGTCTTAAAATGACAAATCAGAGCTTGAGCGACCTCGAGCTGTTCAAAACTAGGCTAATATTGTGCTTCCGCCTTCATAACATGGAAAAGAGGAGGAAATTATTCTTTATGAGAACCGGCTTCTACAGGTTACATAAAAATATACTCTATTCTTGGCTTCGCCTGGATGGATCCGAGTTAGAGGTTGATGTACCGCAGGATAATACGCTCAAATTGGCAGTCAAAAGTACAATGATTCCGGTGACGTCGACCATCCAATCTCTTCCATTGGACCCTTTACATGACAGGAAAGGCCTAGAAAGGGAGTCTGGACACCCAGCCTTTCGTCATATTCAGATAAGAAGTTACTCATACTCTTGCTTCCAGTGTGTTCTTAGCACTGGGCCTATGGTAGAGGGAATGCAAGTCGGCTCGTAGGCTCTACTTGGGGCCGGCGGATATTTTTATCCTCTCAATCTGTGATTTTACATGAGAGAAGTAGGCAGAAAAGTTGGCCAAAATAGCCAGTTCGTGAATATAATAAAAGGATAAAGT